TCCTAATATACACACACCACGGCCTGCGCGCGGCCGCCAGCTCCCTGCGGCACGTCTCCGTCCACAGAGCCGTCCCCCGACGCTGGCTACCCCGTCCCTCTTACCAAGGAGCCGGAGGAAGATCTGGAGCCCGATGCAGAATCCGCTTTGGCTGGAATCGTAGTAGGAGTTGAAGATGGCGTCGATGATGTAGAGGCAGGGCACCCGGAGCGCCACTTCGAGCGCCGCCCAGACCTGCTGATGGGCCATCCGCACCTGCTGCTGCGGGGGCCCCACCGCCGCCATGAGCCGCTGCCACACCGGGGCTGGGCGGGCCGGGCAGGGCCGCGCGGGGCAGGGCCCGGGACCGCGGCCGGGGGCGGAGGCGAAGGCAGGCGGCTCCGCCCCCGCCCTTCCTCCTCTCGTGTCTCGCTCACGGCCCGCCCCGCCGCCCGCTCGCGTCTCTCGAGCTGGAGCAGGCGGCGGAGGCGGTGGCTGAGGCAGCAGCGGCGGCTCCCGGGAGGCTTCTGGGTGTCGGTGTTTCCGGCAGGCTATGGTCTGGCTCCTCCTCCCTCTACCGCCCCCCCCGCCCGCGAAGCCACCATCTTGACCTCGCCCGCCCGCCTCTGCCGTTGCTGCTGTTGCCAGGCCGGGAGGCTGCGCCCGCGGTCACGCGAGACCGTGGAGCCCGCGCGCTGACGCCCGCGTCATAATCTGGCGTTGGGAGCGCTTCCCATGCGGTCATCACGCTCGGCGTAGCAAACGTCCCTGAGCGTTGCCATGGTGTCCGCCCACCTCCGCGGTCCGATCCGCCTTCGCGGCTTTGGCGCCACCCGGTGGCGCAGGCGCTCTTGGGCGGCCGCGCCCTTTGGCCTCAGGGTGGCCGCCTCACCAGGGACGGCGTTGGCTTAGTGAGGAACTCCCTACTTCCGGGGGCGGGAATTATTAGCTGCGTTTTCAGAGCCCATTAAACGTCCCATAAATGTGATTCAGCGCTGCTCGAGAGGAGGAAAGCTAAAGCGCGTCGCCCGCCAGACCTACCCCACCCAACCCGGAGGCCTGGTCGGGGAAGATACTGCCAGGGCGCCTGGGCACCTGTTGGAGGGAAGGCTGCGTACGTTTTTTGGAGCGGCTGGTTCGTGGAATTGGGCTGGGTGTGGTAGGCGCTACCGAGAAAAAGATCCTTCCCATCCCTTTGCGCATCACTCTTCCTGCCTCCTACCTGATTGGGCAGAAGTGCGGACACTCCTGGCCACATTTTACTAATGTCAAGGGCTCCTGTGACTTAAGGACCAGAATTTTGGCCTCTGTCTGTGTTGCTTATCTTTGAAGTAAGCACGCCAGGCAGTCCTTTCTTTGTCACAGTAGAAGAGGCCGTACATCCTATGTTTGTGTAGGGGATCAGAACATGCCTCCCCAAAATATGCCACTTTGACATAATTATTTTGAGCTGAAGACAGTTGAGAAACAGCAGGAATAAACAAAAAGTGCTTCATCTCAACACTCCCCCTCCCTTCCCATTTGCCTAAAAATCCAGCATGAATTTCCGTTTGTAAAGGTGTCTCCCCTACCAAGAGGACAACTCTTGGACTGGATCACCCCCAAATAGTACTGAACGAATCCTTATCTTCCGTTAGTTTTCCCCATATATTTGCTTTCCCAGTTTGCCACCCCTAAAAGCCTAAACCCCTTCTCCTTTGTCTTGTCATTTATCTACAAATGCATTGTTCCTTGTTAATATGCTATAGGAGCCCCAAACTGTAGCCACCTCTTGGAGTTAGTCATCACTAGTTTCTCCCAGACATATGTGCACCACATGAGCTAATAAGCTCTGTTTTTCTCTTGTTAATCTTTTGTCAGTTTAGTTCAGAGCCAGAGCCACAAAACCTAGGAAGGAAAAGACTTTTGTCCCTCCTCTACACTTTTTTGCCTATCCATGTAATTAATATAATCTGGCTATCCTTATCTTTATGTTCCTTAACCAGCAAGAGTTTAAGTTAGGCCAGAGTCTGCACTGTAGACCAAGCCATTTTAGATTAAGGGCGATGAAATAGAACTTGGCTCACTAAGGCTCCTAGTCCAAACTGCACTCTGCAACCCAGTGTTTATCAGGGGTTCTATATGGGTTGCTTATGGGCTCTTTTTTGGGTCCTCCATCAGTGAGCCCTCTGGAGGGAGGAGAACTATAAAACTCCAACACCCCTTTCTCTGGGTGGAGGACTGTGTTGATTGAACCCACACCCAGACTCCTGACACTAGTCTCTGGTTTTAACCTTCTTTTGTTATCCCCCACTAATAATGACTGCCATCTATGTAGTGCTTACTGTGTACTAGGCTACTGTGTATTGTGCTAAGGGTTATACTTTACTGAAATCTTTGCATCAGCTTCACTTTGATAGGTTTTATCTATTTCTAAGAGGAAACTGAGGCTTAGATAAGTTGTCAAAACCACAAAATTGGTAAGTAAATAAAGTGGTGGGTGGCCAGCATGGCCATAGTGAAGGAGTGGGAAACAAACTGACCAGCTGACTTCCCTGATGCTAAAACTGTTTGCTGATTCATTCTTCACTGAGAAGAACTTTAACCCAGAGGCTGCGCTCCGGGAAGGAGATAATAGGCTGATAATCTCAGAAGAATAGACACATCCCCCAGAGTTCCCCGTGCAGATTCATTGAGGTTAAGAGGAATGTAGCAGCCTGAAAAACGCCCTAATTGTTATTACCTGTTCTGTTCCATCCAGTTTTTCTATGAAACCTCAAGACCGCAACCCCAAGATGGGCCAGAGTCTTCAAGGCATTAGCCTGCTATGCTCCCTTTGCCTGGCAAAGCCATAAAGCTGCTCTTTTCTATCCTCCCAAAACACTGCCTCCAAGTCTCAATTCAGCTATCAGGGAACAGAGGCTGGTTTTTTGGCAACAACAGCTAGCAAGAGTTGCACCTAAGATTCAAACCCAGGGCTACGTGAAGCTTAAAACCCCAGGCATCTTTGCTTCCTTCCCCTTTTCACCAACAATCTGCAGTCAAATCTCACCCATTCTTTCTTGATGGTCTCTTATACCCCTCTCCTTTCTGTTGTCACCGTCACCATCCCAACCCAAGATTCTACTGTAGCTTCCCGATTTATGGCACCGTGGCCACCACTTTTTCTATTCCAGTCTGTTTACTTCTGTAGGGTTAATTTTCCTGAACAGCACATCTGGGGAGTAAACTTGTGGTTTTGACAAAATTCCCAAAGGAAAGCAAACTTGGTAAAATGAGAGAACTATGAAGACTTATATAGAGAACCTCAGAGATGTGAGTTAGCTAGTCAACCTACCAGTATTCTGCCCTGATTGCAATTTAAAGCAAAATGAGGAATGCTAGTATGGAGAAAGGTTTCCACAGGGCTAATCTAAAACAGTGTGGAAGAGGAGACAGGAGGTGAGAACCATTATATTTTGACCATGCAAAATGAAGAATAAAATAGTTCATGGGTCCTCCAATTTTTATCTAAAAAGTTAAATGTTGCAAAAATTAAATAAGATTTTTTTAAAGGAACAAATGGTCAGTCTCATTAACAGTCTCTGTTCTTAATTTGATGCACAAATTTTATTAGTATAAGAATTTCTAATTACAACTAAATCCCACCTTGGGCCCAGAATTTCAGTAGTGGTGGCACAGTCATTTTTATCTTACTCACACATGACTTTAAGCAAGTCTCTAAAATTTAAACCCCCTGGGTCTCTCTTTTCCCCATCTATAAAATGAAGGTCTGAAAAAGATCCTGGCAAGTACTTTAAAATATTACCTTAAAACCAAATTTATATTAATGAGGTTGTTTTTAGAATGCTTTTAGGAATTTTTATATGAAAAGTTTTCAAAGGGATAGCTGCAGTTCCCTGAATCTAATCTCTTTGGCTTCTACATTGATTTGAATATTGCACAACTCAGGTACATACTAAAGTCTACCCAGAGCAGTACGTGGAGTGTGTGTGTGTATTCATAAATAATCGATGTTCAAAAATAAGTTTGTTCATTTGGCTTTAATGGCTCAGAAACCTTTTAATAGTTGTAAAAAGCCTTTAGATGTGGAATGTGTAAGGACCAGTTTGAATTCTCTACTGATATTTGCATCGGCCAACTCTGTTACATGCGACAGCAACTGATTCTGGGCTATCTTATGCAAAAAGGGAATTTATTAGAGGATTATCTGAATTATTCTTCAAGATTTCAAGTTCCAAGAGTGACTATGCAATTGGTCAAGCTTACTGACTTGTGTATCTGTACCCTAGCTGTACCAAAGGGCAGTACAAGCAGCCTCCTTAGTGGAAGGAAGCAGGAGGAAACAAGCACTTGAATTACCCACCTCACCCGTCCCCACCAATGTATTATGTATTTCCTTCAAGTGGAAGATGGGGATGCTGGTAGGAAGCACAGGGACTGGTAGGCCCCCCCGCCACCCCCAAGGCATTAACACATACTATTTCAGGCCTTGGAAATTACTATCTCTGATCCTAAATTACTTCATAGTTTTTATCTCATTAAAGTAAATTTCAGGTATGCTCATCAAAATACAGCTATTTGAATTTTCTGGTTTTGTAAATGCCAAATGAATAGGAAGATTCTGTTGTTGTTTAGTTAACAAAGGAAGCATCAGAGAATATAGTGGCATTTGGAGTCAATGTGGCATACATATTGACTGACTTTGGCTCACTTATTCATTCAACAGACATTTATTGAGCACTTTCTATATGCTTGGCATTATGCTTGCCCACTTCTGCTGCTTACTAGTTCTCTGTCTCTAGACAAATTACTTAAACTCTCTAGTCTTCAGTATCCTCATCTGGGAAAAAGAAAAAAAGCAAATTAATAATGTCAGATTAAGATATAAAATACATTAAGATATACTATCCAATTTAATCCCCTGTTAGGAACCAGCCCTCTAGACTCACAAAGTTGTGGGGATGGGAAGCACGTGGGTCAGTGGAGACAGTAAGTAGGTGTATTAATTTCCTATTGCTGCTATAACAAATTACCACAAATTTCATGGTTCAAAACAACACAAATTTATTCTTACATCATGGAAATCAAGAATCTAAAATTGAGGTGTCAACAAGGCTGTGTTCCTCCTGAAGGCTTTGGGAGAGAATCCATTTCTTTGCCTTTTTCTATTTCTAGAGGCTGCCTACATTCGTTGGCTTATGGTCCCTTCCTTACATCACTCCAACCTCCTACTTCAGTCATCACATCTCCTGCTACTTGCTCCCACCTCCCTCTTATAAGGACCTCTGAGATTATATTGGGCCCACCTAGATCATCCATGATACCCTCCCCATCTGGAGATCCTTAACTTAATCTGACAAATCCCTTTTACCATGTAAGGTAATATATTCACAGATTCTGGGGATTAGGACATGGACATAATTGGGGCCCATTATTTAGCCCACCACAGACTTGCAGCATTTTCTATCTATAGTGGATGTGGCACTATGCGATGTGTTTTTTAGCATGTATACTGAGTCTTGGTGGACAGCATCCTGTCTTCACAGGGTATCATCTCCAAGCTCTTGCTTCAGTTCCAAAGGTTTTTCCACCACTCCATTGGGCCAGCATTTCCAAGGTTCTGTAGTATGTGATAGGACTGGTGAATTCCAATGGTCACGTGCTCACTGAAACACCTCTTTTGCAGCAAAGTGGGTCCCCAGGTCAAAGGCAATATTATGCAGGATACATACCGATGGACACTTGTAAACCCTGCAATAAGTAGTCTGGCTAACATCTTGTGGGCAGGAAAGGCAGACTCATACCTGGAGATGGGAAGATTCTAGTCAAGGTGAATCACTGTCCTTCCAGGATAGGAGTCCAGTGTAATCAACTTGATACCACGTAGCTGCTCAATTTCTTTGAGGGATGATGTTGTATCAAGGGCTCAGTTTTGAACATGAAGGAGTGGCCACTTGGTGAGTGGAAGCCACACTGTTGGCCTCTTGCTAACCCGCACCCCTGCAACATGACTACATGACGAGCCCATCATGCCAGTCCTGGGAGAGCTGATGACTGTGGTCGCTGAAGTTAACTGGCTGGGGCTCTTTGTTCACTTGATATTGAGCGCCTCTTCCATGGTGGATGTCCCTGGTAGGCACTGTCATGCAGCGCAAAGTTCTTTACTCGGTGCCCAATCCCATAGATTTCTCCCCTGCTTCTTCTCTAGGTTACCTTGTTCCTCATCTTCTCATCTTTCTCATTCCAGGCCCCGACCATCTAGACAACCTATTTGCCACTTGCCAAAAAGCTATATTCTTACTTTCAGGCCACTTTCCTTTCCACACAAGGTGGACAACCAGGAAGACTGCCCCAAGTTCCGCCTGTTCAGAGAACTCCCGTCTTTTAACAGCACTCCCGACTCAGGCTGAAGGACAGCAGCAGTCTGTTGTGTTTCGAACCCATATTCCAGCAAAACCCATCAATGAACTGAGCCTGGGCTTTTTGTCCTCCATCAGTTAGACATCAGAGCTGAGGGAGGGATCTTGGGGTGAGTTGTGAGTTTGACACATGCCTGTGCAACTGTTCATTTCCTCTGGCCCTGCTTGTCACCGATCCCAGACGTACCACTTCCATCTTATGATGGACTGACTTGGTGGGTCTGACAAAACCTAGCTCATGATGAGCAACTCAGGCTAACGTCCCACGAGAGGCTCCGTTCTTACCAAGGCTCGTTGGCACGCAAGGAGCCACTTTTGAGTGACTTGCAGTCCTCCGCAGCGGCTGCCCTGGCCTTGCTGCAGAACCTAGACGTCTACCTTGGGATTCTCCTGCTGGACCTTGCATAGGCTCCTAGGGCCACTTCGCTTATCAAGACTGCCTCACCCCGTAGAATCTCCTGGACCGAACGGTCCACACAACAAGGTTAGTCACACTGCAGCCTGAACCTGCTACAGAGCCTTTAGAGCCAAGTGAAAACCGGCAGCCTTCTGTCACCCAGTGTATGAGCCAGGGCAGCATTCCCGGTTCTGAATATCCCCCACAAAGAAGCCTGGAGCTAGATGTGCTTCTTTGGTGGCAAAATAATACTGATAAAATAAATGTGGAAAAAATATCTCTATTATGAGTGCGGCATCTTGACATGCAAGCAGACCACTCCCTAAAAATTTCACTGATAGAAAAGTTTTCTGGTTCTTATTAGTGATCATTTCCCATCCTTGGGAGTACAGTGTGCTGGCTACTTACTGTTTATCTGGCCCAAGTACTGTGATGTCATGAATGTAACAGGTCAGGGCGGCGTTCTGTGGAATGTTCACATGGTCTAGACCTCTTCAGAGTATATTACGATGGAGACTGGGAGAGGGCTGTTGTCTGTCCTGTGTGAATGCAAACTGCTTCTGATCCCACGCCGTCAGGACCCAGTTCCACGGACTCTCACGGCTCCTGGTGGTACAGAGGTCAGGTCCTGTGTCTCCTCTGGCAAATAAGCCCACCTGAAGGTGGTGAAAGTAGACACACAACGTGAGGGGAAGGAGCTGCGGGACAGCTGCTTCAGGATGGTGCTGTGTGCAACAGCTGCTTTTTTCATGAAGTTCTGTTACTTTTATTTGAGTTTTGAAACTGTGAGTATGCATAGCTGTAATTAAAAAAAATTCAATTACTAAAAAGAAAAAAGGAGAGCCCAGGAGAAGCTAGGACAGGCTGTCTATCCATCTACATCTATCTACCTAATGTGTGTGTGCTATACCAAAATCCAGTTTAAGCTTCATATTCAATATTTCCTACTTACCTTTGATTCACCCTTGACCTTGAAAAACCCAAGGAGACAAATTTCTCAAAATTACCTATTTTTCTTACTATTTTTGGCCTTCTGAAATTGTGTGTGACTGTTGGTCAAGAAATCTTGCAGGTTATTATCACACTTAATCAGAAAGATTTCACTATTTATTGCTAATATTTTAATATTCACTTTATAATATGGGTAAGCATTCTAAACATACTTATAGCATCAAATTCTTATGTGCTTTCTATGTTGAAACATGTCAACTGAAGTACGTATGTATATTTATTATTGCTAGAGTGAATCTTTTCAGTAATAATCATTGTGAAAACTAGTAATGTATGCACAAAACAATTATTATAAATCTTTAAATAGTTTATAAAAAACTAGACAAAATGTATGAAACAACAGCCCTCAAGGCAGTAGACAGCAGCTATGAAGGGCAACGGTCCATGAGAGATGGAAAAGAAAAGAGAGCCATACAACGGCTCCAACTCACTGCCTGGAGTTTTCCGGGCTGTGGCGGGAGGTGGGAGTGGAGGCCAGCAGACTCCCTGAGGTGAGGAGATGGGACTGGGAGTCCTGGGAGCCCCCGTACCTAGAGTTCACAGGGCAGGATGCCAGAAGGGAGAGAGCCACACACACAGAGAGAACTCCAGGGATCTGCTGACCACTGCCCGCAAGTATTCAGCTGACTAATGATCAGCACGCATGACAGGAAACTACCAAGGGCCAAGAAAAGAACCATCCAAAGAGATTATAGGAAACAATACTCAGCGCTCACACAGGGTGGCGAATAATTCCTGTGTCTACCAGCAAGAGTAGGAAATCTCGTAATTCACAAGGCATCGGTACGAGAGCTAAGAAAGGTCTTGCTTCAGTAGTGGAAAAAAATTAATCCTAGACTAAGTGCTGCTCTAACAAATGCTATTTTAAAAGCAAGACTCAAGAGGATCAAACTGTTTCCAAGTAATGACTATATTCCAGAACAAAACACAAACATGTTTTGAGAAATATGAAAATAACTGTAATCATTTAAAATAATAGTTTAGTTTGAAAATGACTAGTTTTATGGCAGCCAGTGTGGAATGCCTGCATCCTGAGGCTGTTCAGAATGATATATATTGGGTTTCTTCTCACACGTGTGCCCAGGGCGGGAGAAACTGAATTAAGAATGCTTTTTCTATTTGTTTCTCATCACTTAAAATGTCTATGTGTGTATGTTTTAAATGTATACATTATACTCATATATTAAAACATGCATGTAATTGTATTAAAATTATGGAATTAATGAATAGAGCAGCTCTCAATCGAGGGAGTTTGATAAAATTATTATTGTTTTTTAACCACACTTCTCCATCTGAAGTGGGTGCATTAACCAGTAACTAATACTGAGGATTGCCACGGAAGCCTTTAGAGCTTTTAGAAATTCGCAGATTGAGGTGACAAGGACTCCGGGAGCCTCCTGACCCTTCAGTCTTTTTATCTTGGTTCTAGTAAAGTCTCTCCCTGAGCAGACCAAACCAGTGAGTGCTTGGAGAGAACTGTAATGTAAACGGATATCCTCAAGTGGAGAAAAGGCTTAAGGGACCTTTATTTTCTTCCATTCACACAAAACTCCTGCTCATCCTTTAACTCTCAGTGTAGGCATCCCTGCTCCCACCATCCCAGTCACCCTCTCCACCTCCCACCACACAGATCCCCAAATGTGGGCAGCTGCCTCCCCACGTGTGCCTGTGAAAACCCATTTGTCTGTGTACACTTGGGACACAGACTGATGTTATTCCTGTGTCTGCTTTACCAGATGGTGATTCCACTGTGGGCAGGACTCAGCTTTACAGGGCCTGATGGAGAGAGTGCACAGCACATCCTAACTAACCAGTGAATGGCTTCCAAATAAAGACATTCCGCTGTAAGTAAAGCAGATGTAGAGCAATCCTCACAGCCAAACTGGGAAATGGCAGTTCACCTTGTGCAGAGACGGACTGACAGAAGTGCTCATGGTACAGCAGTCACTGTGATGACAGTTAACTATGTTAACTCATCTAAACCCAACAACCCCCCTTCAGGGTGTGAACAATTGTTAATTTCAACGTGCACATGAGGAAATAAAATCCTGAGAGATGCATGACTTGTCTCAGGTCACACAGCAAGTAGAGGAGCCAGGAGTTGAAAGAGTGGAACCTAAATTCCATGAAGGCAGAGCCCACGTCAATCTTCCTCCACCAGGAACACTCAGGGCCTGATATGTGTAACAGGTGGAATGAACTCATTCGGGTGCCCCTGACATCAGCTCCCTCTCCATAGTCTGTGGCAGGAAGGGAACTCCTCAGCCCCCAGAAACGTGGCTCCCTAATCATCTTCTTCAGTGTCTCTCCCCCGCCTTTCTCCCCAGTTTGGCTCAAGCCCCAGCTTGTCATCTCTGGGTTAAGGAGAGGAAGCCATAGGCACATATGTGAGAAGAAATCCAATATGTGAAAGAGGAAATGATGAAGGCACACACAGGAAGGCCATTCTGTGAGATGGGGATGGAAATTAACGGGCTCTCTCTGCCAACACATTGGAGAGCCTACTGTGCACAAAACACTGTACTTTTTAATCCTTACAACTATCATCTCCAACACATCTCTCACTGCTTCTTTGGTTCCAAGCTGATCCAAAGGCGATGCTCCAAACACTTCCTGAGCATTCCAACTTTGGCATCTGTTGGTCTCTTCAACCAACATCTGCTTTTGCCCTGACTCCACTTAACAAAATCTCACCCAGTTGTTTTTTTTTTTCCATCTCTGCCATGACATCTCTTTATTTTTCAACCTTTCTGTAGATTTTGCTTTTTTAATTTAAATTTTTGGATAATTGTAGATTCACATGCATCATAAGAAATAATATGAAGATCCATTCCATGTACACTTTAGCCCATTTCCCCTACTGGTAACAATATGCAAAACTGTAGTATAAATTTCACAACCAAGATATTGACACTGATACAATTCACCCAGTTTTTAAGAGCCAATTCAGACACTACCTCTTTGAAGACGTCCCCATTCAAGTCTCAGAACTCTTCCTCCCCACCTCTGCACTCATACCACGTGCTATCACTCACATGGCACTTACTGTATCCCAATTCTTTCAGCATTTGTTATTTCTGCTGGTAGCTTGTGAGCTCCTCAGACAGTATCTAATGTCTCTTCATATTTCCTGAGGCTCACGTATACTATATAATACTGTATTTGTACTTAATATTTGCAGAATAACACAACTAGCAGCAACCCTGTCCTCCTTGCCTCTGCTGCTAGAGAAGGACAAGCAGCCCAGCCCTACCCAGGCAGCCAAATGCCAGGGACAATCGCAATGCTGATAAAGCCACACTTTCCTCTACCTCCTTCATCAGGCAAACAAGCCCAGAGGGCTTCAAAGGGCACCAAAATGAAGCTCTGAAAAGTAGTTCTCAACCTATTGTCAGTCATCCCAAAGTGATTCCTTACAATTAGTCAAATCCAACCATAAACAGTGATGGCAGACAGCCACAAAATAAGGTGAGGCCTGAAAAACCACAGAATATCTCACTTTCCTTACAGCTTCTTGTATTGGTCCTGATGTTGTCAGCCAGGAAGGGAAGATGAAAAGCGAGTCTGAGGCCTGTATAAATCTAAGATTTTTAATTCAAACTTTGAAAAACAGTTCGCAATTGGCAGCTACTGCAGAAGCTTAAGGCTGGAAATCTAGCTTCCTTATGACTTAAAGCAGTCATCCTAAGCCCTTTTTCTACCACAATAAACCTAACATAAGACATTGCCCGCCTCCCCAGCGCTCATTTAGGAATGCTTAAGTAGGGGAATGGAGTTAATACACTGGAGTCATTTCTGTCCCTTTGCCTCCCTCATTTAGTCAGTCATAATAACAAAGAAGCACCACTTCAATGCCTTGATTTGGACTCCACTGCTTTGGCCCATCAATTTTATTTCTCAAGTCCATCCACCTCCCACTGCCACCCCCTGGTCCCAGCCACCATCATCTCATGCCTGAACAACCATAGAAGCCTCCTCACCGGCCTCCCTGCTTCAATCCTTGCTCTGCTCCGGGCAATTTTTCATACTGTAGCTGGAGTGGTTTTCGAAACAGCACTGTGTCCTTCACTCTAAACAGTGCCCTGTGTACAGCTACTTATTAGGTAACAGTCATGTGAGACCATTCAAAGAAACCTTCATCTTGCAAACAAGAAAGTCTACGGCCAACAGAATATTTGAACCACACATGCAAGGTCAGACAGAACTGAGGTCAGAATTCAGAATTCATGATCGCACAGACGGGCTTCATTTCTATGAGCTCATAGCACTTCTTCCAGATAAGCAGCTCATTCTCCCTGTGTTAATGGGAGACAATAAAATGATATGTATTGGTTTAGAGCCTGCTTTCAGGACTACAAAATATTAAAACATGTTACCAGGAGACAAGAGGGGTGAGACCGCGGCCTGAGCTGATGCATTAAGGATCACTCACCCAGAGATCCTCATGTCTCAGGAGCCACCCTCTCTAGCCAACTAGAGGACAAGGGCGGCAGTCCAGATCCAGGACTATGTGATCCACGTGGGGAGCATAGGATTTCACTGGCTGGATGTGCAAAATTTGTGTCTTCCACGGCTTCCCGTGCACCCGCTGAAGGAGAGTAGCAATGCGAGTTTCTGCAGACTCCGCCCACCTTTGCCACGCTGGTTTGGTGGCTGCTGACAGCATTTTTCTCCCAGAGTCACTGGTAGCTCCGTTTTCCAACTCGTTGGTGATAATAAGCTGAGGAGAAAGCCAATGCTCCTTCTCCGTGTCACTGTTTCCAGGAGGCTGGACAGTCTTCCCTGGGAAAGATTCCACATTTTGGTGAATATGCAAAATGCCTCCAGCATCCCGTCTTAGCACTTGGCAGGCAATGGGCCAGCCTTCTTCAGAGCTGGGAATCAGCCCCAGGTTCACCCTGTCCGCAACGTTTGAAAGCTTCAGTTTTCTGTTATCCCCAAAGTGTATTTGGCACCGATCCACTACTCCATTGAGCTCAAGGTTATTTCTCAGAGCAACTACAGCATGGGGGTTCCACTCACAGGCATGGACAAAGGCAGCACCAGCATGAACTAGGAAAGGCAATGTGAAATAACCAATCCCTGCATAGAGATCCACCAGTACTTCTCCAGCACAGGGCAACGAAGCCACACGAAGCTTCTCAGTGATGTTTCCGAAGGAGAACATGCACTGGGTCACGTCAAACTTATATCGGATGCCATTATCCACATGCTCTACCCAGCCACTGTCACCTAGCAGCAGACTCACTGCCGGAGTCCGAGCGCCATCCGGTGATACCCGCCCTCGTTTGGCCAAACGCTGGACGCCAAGTGCCAAGGCAACAGTCTCCCAGAGTTCTGGTTCCAGATTTCTCCACTGCTTGGCTTGGAAACAGTCCTCACTCAGCAACAAGAGATCACCGTGTCGTTGCCAAGATCGGGGCAGATCAGCCTCCAACTCAGCTGACCACGTCACTCCGCAGCCCTCTACCCAGCGCCTCACCTCAAGACACAGCCTTTGGGCAGGTGAAAAACCCCGGGCCTTCTTTGAAGGACCAGGCTCCAGGAGCTGCGTTAGCACACAGGGGCTGCCTGGAGCCACACGATTCGTCAGCTCCCGCAGGTGCTGCTCAGGGAGGGCCTCTCCCAGCACCGGTAGCGCCACGGTGCCATCCGGCATCTTTTCCACACGGTGCTGTCTATCCAGGAGTTTCTGCTTCTCGAGATACTCCCTGTACCGCTGGGTAAACCGAGGCTCAGTTACAACTGCGACAACAGCCGCGGGCTTCCCGCCTTCCTTTTCCATGCTGCTGGCCCCACATTCTCCGACTCCCTCCGCTAGACTCCCAGTGCTCGGAGTCCACTCACCTAGGTTCTCACATCCACGCTCAAGCAGGAAGAGAGGCGAGCAAGCCGCCGGCCGGGGCCGGAAGTGATGTCAAACAGTCAGGCCGGAACTAAGTGACCTTGTCCCGCTGGTTGACGAATGGCGTCGCCGTGTGAAGCCGCTGCCGCCATCTTTGTTGTGGCCAACCATTACTTGCTCGAACCTAGGAGGAAGTTAATAAATAGAAGGACTTCCGTCGGCTTAAAAACTTCAAGTTAGCTGGTATCTTCCAGAATTCTGATGCACGCTCTTCAATGCTGTTCACAGATCCAAAGAAAGAGGTGAACCTGGAAAGATGGGCCAATTTGGAGAAAGGTTTCCCATATTGTCTTGCTGCGCTCAGGTCGGCATCAGCGGCCAGTATTGGTTGAGAGTGAAGAGTCAGATGTAGCCTCCTCATTCCTTTTCCTTGCAATGACAGTCATCACCACCTCACTGTCCTGTAGTATAGGACACAAATGTTTGGAAGGCTGAAGGATCTGAGTTGGGGTAAATTATACCACATACAACAGCTGCACCAAACTACATTCCCATCAACAGTGTAGGAGGGCTCGCTTTTCTCCATACCCTCTCCAAAATGTAGGAGGTCAGAGAACATATTTTGATATGATTTTAATCCTTTTACATTTATCAAGACTTGTTTCACAGCTTAGCATAATGGTCTATCCTGAAGAATGTTCCATGTGCTCTTGAGAAGAATGTGTACTCTTCTGTAGTTGGGTGGAGTGTTCCAAGGATCTGTCTGTTAGCTGACATCTTTGCAGTTCATGCTCAGGTAAAATAATGGTCCCTACAGTTAAATCACAAACAGTCTCAATTCAGAAACTAGAATGCCTAGTATCAAGTACTAATCTAAACACATGGCCTTCTTTTTATTCCCTTGTACTCAACACACTCCCTCCCTTCATTGCAACTCACTTTCATGACTGCTCTCACGGCCCAGAAAACTCCCTTCCTAACCTGGTTATACCAGAGATCTCAGGCCAATCAGAACATTCTCAGGAAAACCCTCTATGACCTCCTACCCATCTCCCCTCTAAGTCAAATCTCTATCAGCGACTCTCAGAAAACCATGCTCTTCTCTGATAGCCTTTTCCAGTAGTACTTTTTCATCTTTTAATTTGATGAATGGCTATCTTCCCCGAGTGTGTATGTTTCAAGGGGGCAAGGAGCTGGATTTCCCCCTTCGTTATTATATTTCCTTATTGTATTTATGAGGGCCCACCACACATAGTACACCCTTATAAAGTATTTGGAGAATAAACACATAAATGAGTGAGCGAATGAATGAATGAGGTAAGGAAAGAAGAAAGAACTTCAGAGAAAAAAGAGAAACAAAACAGTTCATAGCCAGAAAGAGTTTTAGTTCCAAAATATTGCCACTAGATGGCAGCAATAACCAGCACCAAAGTAGTAGAAGCCTCTGAATTCTTGGGTTTCAGATGGTTTGGATTTTCAAGGCTCCTCAGGGGTCCTACCATGGCCAAGGTCTCCATGGGCCTTTTTTCATCAGTCTATATTAGAGCCTCCTTTTTTGGGGTGGGGGAGGTAACTAGGTTTGTTTATTTTTTAATAGAGGTAGTGGGGATTGAACCTCGTGCATGCTAAGCATGCACTCTACCACTGAGCTATACCCTCCCCCCCTTAAACATCCCTTATTGACATGGCTAATCCAGATGTGCAAGTGTATCTGGCAGCAAGTAACAGAAACCCCAACAAACAACAGCTCAGCAGTGGGTGGGGAGGTATACACATTTTAACATAAAAGTCCAGGGCTAGTGTAGGGAAATCTTCAGTAAACCAGGCTTCTTCTCAGCCTCAGCGTGAGCCTTTCATCCCTGTGGTTTCAAGCTGGCCACTTGACTTCCAGGCTCTGTGAGCACACGGAGGTAGGAAGAAGAGGACAGAGCAAAAAGAGACAAGGTTAAATTGAGAATACATTTAGTTTGGGGTCAGTGGGATACACTTATGTGATCGCAGTCATTTCTGTGTGTAGTTAAGTACTAGCTAGCTGTTCCGGTTTGGGAGTAGTTTCCGGGAGCACTCCTATGGCTGGCTGCTGGCTCACTGGCATCTTGGCACAACAGCGCAGAGCCAGCTGTCCCACGATGATGTGAACACGTTCTCTGGTGCTGGGCACTGGAAGGATGTGGGTTGTGGAGGAGAAACTAGGTTTCTAAAGTAAGAGATCAGTAACTAGAGTGCAGAAAATCCTTTTAGTCTTCAGACAGGTACAATTTTAAATGGAGAAATCAGTTCTCAACAATGTCTGCTTAAAATGGAAGATCTTTCCTGCCAGGAATATACTAAATAATGCAGCACATATAATCATAAATACACCATACATTAACACAACATTGTGAATTGACTATACTGCAGTTTTTTCAAAAAGGGGAAAAAAAGATCTATTCCAAGTGCAAAAAAGACCAATGGATTTTATTATCAATGGGATATAAAAAAATTCATTGATATGATTTCAGATTCAACATTGCAGGTAGCCTTTAAGAAACTACTACCTGTCAAGTTGATGTCAAGTCAAAGATTATCCACAGTTACCTGGAAAAAAGTATCAGAATGCTCCTCTTAATAGGTGAAATAAGTTTTCTTCATACACTTAACTCCAACAGCATATTGTGACAGATTGCATGCAGCTGTCTTCCATTAAACTAGACATGAAAGAAATTTAGAAAACTGTAAAACACCAGCCTTCTTACTAAATTTTTAAAAAATGTATACTTATTAAAAGTGTTAACATTAATTTAAAAAAATTGAAGAGTAAGGTATTTAGTGAAAAATCACAATCAGCACAAGTTCAACTCACTAAGATACACTCTTCTGATTTAAAAACACACAGCACTCATGAAGCTGCTGGAATGGCAGAGCGGAGCACAAAGCACAGAGCCAGCCTCTGTCTGAATCATTCCACCAGCCAGCCCCCAATCTCAGGAGCAGTCAAACTTTTCGGGTTTATTCCTCATTTTGGTAGAATAGAGTAGAAACATAAATAAGGAAATATCCCACAAGAAGAAACAGGACAAGAATGAGAAGGACAGGAATAAAAGGGCACCTGGCTCTTGGCTGTTGGCAGCACGGTCACGGTCAGTACCTGCAGACAAAGACACACACCTGATGGCTGGGTTTCACGTTAGCCCTCCTTTGAGTTTCCCAAAGAATCTCCTGTCACTCAACCCATTAGTCTTAAGTAAGACTCATACGTCCGCTCTCTGACAATGTGATTAACTCCTTTATCAAGAAATTATAAAAACAAGTGGCTGCTGGCTGAGAACTTTCTCAAACCTTACATTTCTTATGTAAACCACATAAGAAAAGAAAAATCCAGTGTTACACTTCCCTATGCTAGCTACCTCAGTGCAGCACAGGCCAGAATATTAAATAAGACAGGGCCAAAACACACTTTTCACGTGAAAACATTTAAAACCGTGTCAGTGCAACATTATGTTTCTTCTGAATAAAATCCAAGACAGTAATTTGTTATTTGCTCTTCTTACTTTAATGATTACAAGGATGACAAAATTAAAAATCCCATTTTTTTCACTATAATGTAACTCCATAAAATGTATATTTTAATTAAAAATATGTGACAATGCACACATTTGAATTTATCAGAATCCTTGTGTTTCTAGGCCACAAAGCAATAGCAATAATAAAAACATCAAGTATGTCTGTGGTGAAGTTGCTTCTTTTGTGCATTCCAACCAGGGGTAATAAAAAACAAATTTCAATCAACCATGGAAAGACTGAATTATATTTCTTTTCTCTCTGTAGAAAATGATTGTATGAAATTGTTGTCACATGTGGATGGGATCAAAGATCTGCAGCTAAATATGCAGAAAAGGGATTTTAGTTGCATTTGACACTTTAATAACGTTTGTTGTTATTTTTCAACATTTTGTCATGTTTGTGGTAGTTGCCAGTTTTTTCAAAGTTAGCAATAGGTTGGATTTTCTTTTCTTAATTCTAAATATTCACCTTTGTCCCTCATTTTATATTTGTAATTTTGTGTTTTCCATTTTTTTGAGATGTAATTGACACATTATATTAGTTTCAGGTGTACAACATAATGATTTGCTATCTGATTTAATGCTTATATATATTGTAAAATGATCACCCCCGTAAGCCTGGTTAACATCTGTCACTGTACATAGTTACAAATTTTTTTCTTGTGATGAAAACCTTTAAGATCTACTCTCTTAGCAACTTTCAAATATGCAACCCAGCATTCTGAACGACAGTCACCATGCTGTACATTACCTCCCCAGGACTGACTTATTTATAACTGAAAGCCTGTCCTTTTTGACCCCTTAAGTAAGAGGACCACAGAGTTTTCAGTTTCAGGCCCCACAGAAGCCGGATCTGCTGCTGGCTGTGCTGGGAAGGCCGTGGAGGGGCGTGAGCAGGGCCCTCCCCTGCATCATCCCCTCCTCCTCGGCTCTGGGCCCACCAGGCAGCACGCCGAGGTACGGGCAGGGCACGAGCGGCTGGCAGAGCCTCTTCTTGGGCCTCAACGCTTACCCACGACATCTGCAACAAGTAGGGGTTTATTTTCTCCTTTATTTTCTATAATTCAACTTAAAATTTCCAAACTCAAGTTCCCTTCCTCCCAACTGATAGAAGATTAAACTCATTCCTGGGCATCTTCCCACTGAGGACGGGGCCATGGTCTGGGAGACCCTTCTGCCACCTGGAATTTTGCCGTGAGTCAATATGATGATGATGCCCAAGTAGGGGTAATGAGGGCTCTGGTCAGCTTCGACTTGCCGTCTGCATCTGTGTGGTCTCTTGGGCTCCCACCACACTTGGGTAGGTCAGGGGGCTTTGGGGGAGCCTCCCTGTCTTCTCATTTGCTTGGACAAACCCAGAGGCCATTCTGGAGCATAAGGCCTCTTCCCTCTTCACCCAGGACCTATAGCACCCCTCACCTCTCTCACTTCCTCCATTCCAAAGTTGTCCTTTTTAAATTTTGCCCTCAGGCTTCTTGCTGATAAAAGAAATGTCCAGATATTGATGTATGGGGGCGTTATTCTCGCTCATGCATGGCTTAACTGGAACTTGAATATACTAACTGGAACAGCCCATTTTGTGGCTTATC